CCCCCCCCCGGGTAGTATGCTTTCGTAGTACTTCCATGAAAGCTCCCGGAACATTTAAGTATAATCTGATATATGAGAGTCGGCCAAGATTTTATGAATGAGAAGGACATGATGAATTAATGAGGTGATTCTTGAGTTGTAACTTTTGTAAACTTTTTTCTACTATCTCTTATCAAAACCCTTCTTATGTTATCTTCAAGTATAAGATTATTGCCTATGAATTTGCCAACTCAAAACGAAAGAAGGTGAACCTTCGGCCCTGAATGGTCAGATTCAAATTTCTGCCTGTGGCTATAGTGTCGGAATTCATTATTTATTTTCTCGATCTACAAACAATCTACATATTAACGAGCAGTCTATAACTTAGGCAATTACATACTTCATATGGTGGCGAACCCGTTTGTGATGAGACATTCTGTAAAGGTCCGGGAGAGTCGATCAAATACTATCAATTGATCACAATCACGAGTCAGCAGTATAGTGGCGAGTGTGAATTGATGGCACGGCAGTGAGATGCGAGCTCTATAGTTCTCATGCGGGCGATTTTGTCCCTGACTCGGGTGACTCGGACTTTCGGGAGATGGTCGAAATCTTCTGATTTTTTGCCCACCACTGCACCTCGGCTGAGCCCCATACATTGAAGACGATCAATGGCAACAAAGCGATCACCGTCGAAATGTAGAACACCATATTCCACTCGAGAGGTGAGCCGTTCTGGAAGATACATTTCAAACACAACTGAATGGTGGTGCTTAAAACAAGCGCGAGCAGCGAAGGAGGTGCCCAGGAGGAACTTCTTCCCAAAGAGGGATTTTATACCTACCTGTGCAATCCATTTCGTGAGTATAGGGTTAACGATCCCGGAGCAAGCGACAAAGAAGAATGCGAAGCCAGTAATAGCTCCAGAGTAAGCTGGAGCCAAAGAGACGAGTGCTGTCTGACATCCAGGCGTATGTAAACCTGCAATTCTATGGCAACAATGGGATTTTATACCTACCTGTGCAATCCATTTCGTGAGTATAGGGTTAACGATCCCGGAGCAAGCGACAAAGAAGAATGCGAAGCCAGTAATAGCTCCAGAGTAAGCTGGAGCCAAAGAGACGAGTGCTGTCTGACATCCAGGCGTATGTAAACCTGCAATTCTATGGCAACAATGAAGAAGGGAAGGCTCCCAACAACAACATATCGGTTCCTCTATAAAAAACATAGAAATCAAGATGATACTTAAAACACTATCGATGCAATTCATAGAAGAGCTTCGCATTTTGCTCAACTGGCGGTGTAGACCACACTTTATTCAGCATTTTTCGAGCAATTTTAAAAAGATTAAACAGTATAGGCTATAAAGTTCACCTGCTGACGCCATGCTGAGGCAAAGAAACAAGACCGCCAGTGGAGCTCGAGTAGAATCAAGAAGTGTGGCGGCAAACAGAAAG